TGCCGGGCAAGGGGTCTCGGGTTCGATTCCCGGGTCGGGCAAAGTATTACTGGGTTTTTACAAAATTCTCAGTAGTAGCACGGAGTCTGGAATTGTGCCCGGTATATGGCAATAGGCTCACCCCCTATTACATGGGACTCATAACATAAATAGTGAAAAGTGGGTGTTACATTGTACAGTGGCATAATGTGCACCTCTGCCTACCTCTTCGGGGATAAAAGGCGTGATGTTATGTTATGTGAAATTGTTACTTTTTGAAACCAAGCAACTTGGTCGTTTTGGTTAGTATTTCTTCTAAAATCAGAAAAAAGACCGAGTGTTTTATATCAAAAACACGCACATAACTAATGCCTGTTTTCCCTAACCTCTCTTTAATTTAAGGGGACTCATAAGCGAAGTTATGGAGGTAGTAGTAGTATAAGGGCTAAGGCTTAACGTCGTTACGGCATGGTTTGCACGCTTACGAGATTAATAGCCAGATGACACTACTAGGCGAGTTAACAACTATTGAATGTGGGCGACGGATTATGACCTACGAACTACGAGCCACGCGCTATGAGGTTTGAGGTACGAAAAACGAGCTGCAAACTTCGAGCATCAGCCGCTATGAGCTACAAATTATCATCTACGGACTACGCGCTACGAGCTACGAACTACATGCTACGGGCTACTATCTACGAACTATGCGCTACTAGCTGCGGATTAAACACTACACGCTACGAGATATGGGTCATAGATTTGCACTTTGTTTAGCGCGTCTTGGAGGAAGCACTCTCGTAGGCCTAGGTGCTTTTAGGAATAGAAGAATAAATACGTTCTCTAACCTTGAATCTTCGAAAGAGTGCTAATGTACTTGTATTAGTCATTGTGCTAATGACCGTTGATCCTGGAGATATTGTGTCTATACCTATAATGAGTATACTTTACATGCGATTTATATATTATCAGATAAACACCGTGTGACAATTGACATAATCACAATAATTCTAATCAGAATGTATGTAGCGAGTGGCCTTGGCGTAGATATAATATTTTGATTATAAAAGTTTGGTGACTGTATTTTTTATTTTTGACATCAACAACACACTGTGTAAAAGTTTTCAAACTTCAATGCTCACAAACTCAAAACGCATGGAAATAGTTCATAAGAAAACAAATATGATTCTTACAGGTCCAGATAAGATTTGAATTCGTTTTCCTAACTAAGAATATTCTTTCTCAGGACTTAAATAGTCTGAACTTATGACTAAGAGCAAGTGTAACGTACCTCTTTCATTTCATGTTCGAAGTCTTCCTGGGAGAAAGTCTTCTCAGGGTTGAGGTGCAACCTCTTCATGGCAGCACTGAGCTCTGAGTAGTAATGGTCCAGCAACTTGTCGTAGTACCGCGCACGGAACTTCTCGTCCGAGCCAGTGAAGATGAAGTAGATGAGGTCGGTGACTGGACTGCCGCCCTGCAGCGTTTGGAGGTCCACGACCTTGATGACCACTGACCCGTCCTAGAATGATACATTTTCATCATCATCAAGACGAACTGCATGCTGAACAAAGGACGTCTATTGTTTCAAACAGCCATAGATTTTTTTTAATAATGGTATAATTGTTTGCTGATAGTGTCGCCTACAAGTTTTTGATTTTGATTAAGATAATATCTGTATGTCAGGAACTGATAACACAATCAGTGTCGTTAGTGACTGTCAGCAATCACGTATTGTTAACAGCTCTGTAGATGTACCTATAAATCCGTATGTGTGGCATAATTCCTAGGATTGTACAAATTAACGTAGATATCACGCCTTAATATTAGTTTTCGCCTCATTTTATATTTAGTGAGTAATTCACAAAGATACTCGATCTATTACCTCACTTATTATGATACGAGAATGTACAATTTATTTATGTACTTAGAGTTTATGTTGTCTTAAGGCTACATAATCTTGATACTATACTAGAGTTCTACAACTTCATCTTTAATATAACCAATTCAGTCTCGTTGAACTTTGGATATAGATGACCTAAAAATGTCAAACAAAATGTTATGTTTATCACATTTTATACTATTATTTAAGCATTTTATCATAATTTATCATTGTTTATGGATATGGGTATCTGGCATTTATTTCAGAGTGCCTTGCTTTCTACATTCAGCTAGAACTGGTCTCCTTTACTCTAAGTCTCGTATGCTCCATTGGCTATCAATCCAACATAACCATATCAAAAAAGTTTTATTATCATAATTAATGATAGTAATCTGTATAATTACTGTACAGCTATAATACTTTAACCGTTATACATGTGTTTGCATTCCTAAAACGTTGCAAATAAGGTATCAGACAATAATATCTAACCTAACTTTTGGATTTTGGATGGATGAAGAGATTCAATTAAAGAATTTACATTTTTTAAAATAATGCAGAGACGTTTGAGGTGAACGTGAGAGAAACTATATCTGCATTGACCTTAATTATACGAATATGACATATGAACTATGTTTACCATAACACAGACATAATTTTAAAGAGGAAGCTAAGGAACAAAAGCTTGTTGTCTACGCTAGTCTCAAAATACTGATTAGCTGTAGACAAAAGACAGTATCAGTTCAAAAGTTAAACAGCTCACTCTTTGCAAACCAATTGAATGTTGTTTCGTCTGCATGTACTAGTAGAAAACCACTTACATCAAGATTCTTGTGCATCAAGTTACTTGGTCTAAAGTCGCCGTGGCCCAGCACCAGTCGCCGACTCCTTTTAAATGTGTCTGCATACGATTCTACGTCAAAGCTCTCGAAATATTTCTTTAGTTTATTTTTGTTCTCATCGTGCACCGCTTCGATTGCCTTGTTTGTCATGCTGGTCATGAAAATCTGCATATTTTCATTATTCATATCGACATCAAACATTACATTCTTCATAACGTCCTCAAACTCTTCGGGATCCTGTTTAGCATATGCCCAGGAGCAGGCGTGCAATTTGGCCAGTTCCCGAGTCGCTGCATGTGCATACGGCCAGTCTATCGACTTGAACCGGTCGTAAGCCTTGTACCCGGCTGCCACGAGGTCCTCCAGCACCATCACTTCTTCTTTGAGTTTATTAATACTTCCGTAGTACTTGCTGACGTTCAACCTAAGTTTAGTTGGTATTCCACACTGGTCCTCTATAGTTCGGTACGTTTTTCCGAGTTTTGTGTAGAAGAAATGTTCAGTCTCGTATATTTTAGCCAGCTGAGCTCGCATCTGCTCACCAATGACTGCCACCTTGCAGAACAGTCGCAGTGTTCTGGAGCCCTCAGTGACGCTCACTGCAAACAACTTGGATGTATAGTTAGCTCCTCCACTCGATATTTCCTTGACGTCCAAATTGTAGTTGACAAACTTCTGTTCTTTTGCAATTTCATCAAGCAAGTCTTTGAAGGATTTAGCAAGATTTTCCATCTTTATTTATTGTTATTCGAATCGGAAAGAAAAGAAAGTAAACTTTGTGTATTAAACGTGTAATGAAAAGTAATTGATAGTTATTAAATATTCGTGTAAACAAAACTGTATCGACACGTGTGCTCGCCGGTCGGCGCGGGTAGCGTACTGCTCTGTACGCACTAGTACTGATTGTACATATATATCTTTGTGTTATCTATGCTTCACATGTGACTTTTTTGTAGTCTTGCGACTACTGAGTAAGTTGACTTATGATGTATTTGTATATTTTTCTACAGCACATTTTTTACCCCTAAGTGGATAAACCTTGTATACTACTCCTTCGTCTGAAAAAAGCGAAGAAGATAGTCGGTCAGACTCATGTGTAGTAATGTAATACGAGAACAAACAAATTCTGAAATAATACAAAGGAAAAAATTACAACAACCAGTTTTATTTCTAAGAAACCTCGTACAGCTAATTTTAAATACACAAAACTATTAAGTGTACGTAAATTAATTTTAATACGATAACATCACGTGCTCTTAAACAAATAAAAAGGCTTGTTCTTACATTTTAAAATTATGTACCTACTTTATGATTATCTCATTTATTTCAATTAAACCATAATTTGGTACTTTTGAAACGTCAACAAATACAATCGATAGGTAAGTATAAAATCTACATTTTTAAAAGTTCAAAAATCCTTTTATCTTAACTTAATAATTCCCGGATATTCTTTTTGAATCATAGCTGAGCTCAATTGGGTTGGTGGGTTATAAAAATAGGTGTCTATGATATGTAGCAATAAAGTTGTCCATGTGTATAGATTTATTTAAGAATCCCCCACTTGACGTAGTCGTTTACAACTCCGTTCAGTCTCTCTGCGTACAGGTCGCTGGTGTTCTCCACGTTGAACTTGGAGATGTCGAAGGACTCATCCACTTGAGGAGCGTGCTCCACCTCTACTGTCACGACCGGCAGAGTGAATACCGCCTGGGACAATGCATATGGTAGTTTCTGAAAAAATAGATTGCTAACTATATTGGGTGTCTTTGTGTATCAAACATCAATTAATTGCTTCCATAAAGCTATCACACATCTACTCATCAACTCGCCATCGGCGCGCCGACTACGTGCTTACAATTCGCCTACAATTCGAGTGGACCGCGCACTGACCACCTCGCGCCGTCGGCTTTTTCTAAGGACGTTATAAAAAATATCATACGATTTAAAGTTCATATTTAACTCGTCGAGTACCGGTTTTGTAGACACAATTATAGAACAATAGGTTGCGGTCACCGGTGACCGCTTGGTGTTTGACAGTTTAAACGACAACTTAATTGCTGGGTAGATGTGCTTAATTGCAGGCCGTTGAAAATAATTGCCATATTGAATTTCTCATTTCCGTCACTGTAACATGACTTGATTCATATAAACTCTGGTTTACGCCATAATAAAAAAAAACTAAATCTGCTTATTGTAAGTTAACTCGTCGAGCACCGTCATTATAGACACAATTAAAGAACAATAGGTTGCGGTCACCGGTGACCGCTTGGTGTTTGACAGTTTAAAAGTTCGTTATGATTGTGGATGATCTCACGTACCTCTTTCATTTCGAAGTCGAAGTCTTCTCTAGAGAAAGTCTCGTCAGGGGTGAGCTGCAGTCTTTTCATGGCGGCACTGAGCTCTGTATAGTAGTGGTCCAGCAGCTTGTCGAAGTACTGCGCACGGAACGTCTCGTCGGAGCCAGTGAAGATGAAGAATATTAGATCATTGACAGGGCTGCCACACTGCAATGTCTGAAGGTCTACGATCTTAACATCTACTGAGCCGTCCTGGAATTACATAAAAATAAATATTCGAATACTGCGTACTGAGTCTGGAAATGTGCTGGTATATGGCAATATGCTCACCCCCTATTACATCGGACTCATAACATAAATAATGTAAATGCCGAAATGTGCACCTCTGCCTACCCCTTCGGGGATAAAAAGGCTATTATGTTATGTAAATTCGAATAGTATGTTGAATAACATTATTGAAACCACACGCATTAACATTCAGGAATTGTGGCATTTAAATATTTTGTATACTGTTTTATTTATTCTGCCTACCTCGTTGGCCGAGTGGTCGACGAAGTGCGACTGCTGGGCAGGGGGTCTCGGGTTTAATTTCGGGGCCGGACAAAGGATAACAGGGTTTTTACAAAAATCTCAGTAATAGCACGCAATTTGGAATAGGGTACATGACTCATTTTTATTTTAGTGTCCGTCTGTTAGATTATTTAAAAACATTACATCCGTATTTTTTATTTTCTCACGGAAACGAATAGTTTCGAAGATATATTGATTTTAAATATCGCATGACGTCACTTTTGAGTACGATTTATACCTCCCACTCCTAAACTTTGATTCGTTGTATCTAAGTATTGTTTTCTTATACGATAAAATAACAATATACGTGTCTAAATTTTTTCATTACCTAACGGACGGACTAATTATATTTTTAATTTTCATACTCTGTCATCATCCCTATTGTACCCGGTATATGGCAATAGGCTCACCCCCTCTTCCATGGGACTATAACATAAATAGTAAAAAGTGGATGTTACTTTATGCAGTGGCATTAAGTGGCGCAATGTACACCTCTGCCTACCCGTCCGGGGATAAAAAGCGTCATGTTATGTTATGTTTTATTTATTAATAAGCCCCACTAGCATTAAACGTGAGACATTGAGTGCTCTGCCAGGGATATCGGTACATCATCAGCTCAATCGATTATGAGAGTGCATAGAACGCGTCATACACTAACTCAGATTTCGAGTTGATTAGTTTTTACCCAGCACATTAATGACACAATACTACAGGTTAACTCGCACATGGCCTTAAATGCTGTCATAGCACATTTTATATGATGATTGAATAATTTGTAGCCTACTTGTTATATACCTATATATCTGCTGATCCAAAAATTGAACTACAGACACAGTGACATGTATTACTTTTAACGTTAATTTGTTATTTTTTGTATATAAGGTATATAATGCTATGTTGCATATTTCTTTGTTCTTCTATGTTTACAAATGTCGTGAATGACCTTGTTGTTTGATAACTGGGGCAAACCTTCAAGGCGCCTAGCTTTTTTGGGGATAAAAATATTTTTGGAGTGTGGGATTCTTACCTCACTAAAACCACCCCGGTGGCCACCAACATCACCGAGTCCGTCCCTGCCCGTATCATCCTGTTCCGGAACACCCACAGAGAAACGCCTAGGTAATATCTTGTTCGCTTAATCTTACTAACAAAAGAATAACTGACGCAGTTTCTGCCCTCAGCTCAGTGGTTGCTGAGCATCTAGATGTAGGAAAAAAATGCCTCTCGGTATTCCTAGATTTAAAAAAAGCTTTCGACACCGTCTCTGTTCCAACCCTTGTGTCCAAACTAGAAAGAGTCGGAATAAGAGGAGTACCACTCAATCTCCTTAAAGATTACCTATCAGAGAGACGGCAGAGAGTTAAGATAGGTACATATCTCAGTGATAATGCAGACGTCTCATTTGGCGTGCCTCAGGGTAGCGTTTTGGGCCCTACACTCTTTTTAATGTATATTAACGACCTCTGTACCTTAAAAGTCGATAACGCTAGCATTTTTTCGTACGCTGATGATACCGCTGTTGTATTTTCTGGAGATAACTGGCCTGAAGTTCAGCTTAAAGCTGAGAAGGGTATGACTAAGATCGCTAACTGGCTAAATAATAATTTATTAACTTTGAACGCAACTAAAACTAACTATATCTGTTTCTCTGCTTCAAAGCGTTCACAACCAAATGAAGACTTCAGTATTAAAGTGCATTCATGTAAGCAGAAAACCGCTAATAATGATTGTACATGTCCTCTAATTGGTAAAGTATCTCAGACAAAATATTTAGGTGTCATAATTGATCAACAGTTGTCTTGGTATTTCCATATCGAACACGTAACTCATAGAATAAGGAAATTATGTTGGATATTCAAAACATTGAGACACGTCGTTCCAACCATTACAAATAAAAAAACCGGCCAATACAGAAATCTCTTAAACGAAATTTACATCGCCCTTGCACAATCCATCATAACATACTGTATACCGATATGGGGCGGTGCAGCAAAAACCAAATTTATAGAGGTGGAACGAGGACAACGAGCACTCATTAAAATTATGTATTTTAAAAGTAGGAGGCACCCTACTGAAAGTATTTATCAGATAAGTGGTTTACTCTCTGTTAGGAAATTGTACATCACACAACTGATTTTAAAAAAACACAAAACTGTTTTTTATGACAGTAAAATATTATCAAAGAGACGTAAAGATATGATTGCACAAGTTCCACAAACTAAAACTAAACTTGCTGCTATACAATACAATAAACGCTCTGCACAAATATATAATAAGGTAAACAAAGAAATATACATATACACTAAACAACTACACGAATGTAAGAAATTGCTAATCGAATGGATAAAAAATCTAACATACGAAAGTACGGAAGCCCTGCTGCAACACGTAAAATAACCATCCCTCACACACCCTCGCAGATACACCACGACACACACGCCACACACACAGATACGCGCACCTCACACACACATACACCCCACACTCACATACACCCCTTACACATAAATCTATTTATATAAGTCAATAAACTGGTAATTGTAAAAACCAAAAACTTTTGAAATATTGTTATGTTATGGAAGAGCGGAGTCTCCTAATACAGGCATTATTTACCTAAAAGGAGGCTCCAATCACAATCTATTGTTAAAAAAATATTTGGTTCAGAAATAAAATTTTTTTTTTTTTTTTTTTTTTTTGTATAACTTACGTGAAGAGTCTTGTGCATCAAGTTACTGGGCCTGAAGTCTCCGTGGTTCAGTACCAGCCGTCGGCTTCTTTTCTGGACTGTTGTATATGTGTCCACGTCGAAAGATTCGAAATATTGCTGCAATTTACTTCTGTGTTCATCTCGAACAGTTTTAATTGCTTTTCCTATAATTTTGATAATATACATTTTCATGTCAGTATCGTCTATGTCAACATCAACTGTCAACATTTTTATAACTTCTTCAAACCCTTCGGGATCCTGTTCACAGTATGCCCAGGCGCATGCATGCAACTTGGCCAGTTCCCGGGTCGCTGCCTGCGCGTACGGCCAGTCTATCGACTTGAACCTGTCGTAAGCCTCGTACCCGGCTGCCGTGAGGTCCCCCAGCACCATCACTTCTTCGTTTAGCTTTGTGATACTTCCGTAGTACTTGCTGATGTTTAGTTTATGTTCATCTGATATTCCACACAGGTCTTCAATATTTCGATATGTTTTCCCGAGATTTGTGTAGAAGAAATGTTCAGTCTCATATATCCTAGATAGTTGAGTTCGCATCTTCTTGCCTATAGCTGCCACTTTGCAGAACAGCTGCAGTGTGTTGGAACCTTCAATGATGGACACTGCAAACAACTTGGATGTATAGTTCGCTCCTCCACTCGATATTTCCTTGATGTCCAGGTTGTAGTCGACAAACTTCTGTTCTTTTGCTATTTTGTGAAGCAAGTCTTTGGCAGATTGTGTAATTTTTTCCATTTTCTTGGGAAATTAGCCCAAAACAACGTTGATCTTTGTAACTTAATTATATGTGAGTTTTGATGATAAAAAAACTGTTGTTCAACTAATAAAAGTGAGACAATAGCGTTATATAATAGTTGCACAACGTGTGCTCCCCGGCCGACACAATTCAGCGTACTGCTCTGTGTGGACAATAGTGATGGTTAGTTATTATGTTTGCATTATCTATGCTTCACATGTTCATGATCAGCCTTTGACAACTTAGTAAGGGGTCCTTAATGTTACGTGTGTACCCAACATATCATCCCAAGCGGTCTTATTGCAAAGATTGCTTTGATAAGGAAGGAAACAATTTTAATAAACAATAGTACCTATGTACCAAACTTCTTTGAAAAAACATAGGCTTTCAAGTGAGGGTTTTAAGACAGTAATAAAGGTTTTTCTTAACGTGATAGTGTGATTAAATTTAGTCGAAAAATAGTTTAAACATAGTTTTGGTGTTAACAAATAATATCAAAATATACTGTGCAGGCCAATGTCACCAACAATACGTGTTTTATCTATTGTGGCGATAATCTGCCTATTAAGTAAGTAAACACATATAATAGCAGGAAGTATGTGATGATTCTAGATAATTCTACTAACCCTTAATGGTGGAGTGAGAGATAAGTGCGACTTCTGAGCGTGGTGTCTTGAGCTTGATTGCAGATTCAAGCAAAGAATTAATTGGTTTTGAATTTTAAAAATAATAGTATTAGTTATTTTTAATTAGCTTGACCTCCTATTACATAGCACTCATACAACTTCTGGGATTTATTGAAAGATTCAACATAACCATTTAATTTGTATGAGAGTATAAACTTTTTGTTAGTTTGCGTAAGATAATGTGGTTCATATTAACCTACGACGACGAATTGTAGAAACTTGCAAGTACTGAATTTGTTCTTTGATTTGTGAAAAAAGAAAACAAATGTATTGGCGTCTCTGTGGGTCAGAGTGGATCTGGTGAATCTAGAAAAATAGCTAGTTTTATTGCTGAATCAATATTTTGAATTAAACAGAAAATGTATACTATTTCATTTAATACAATCGCACTACGTGATTTCATTATTAATATAGGTACAATCACATTTTTATAGTTGACTAAAGTGTTCTTTTATATTTGTTCAATTGATGTTACAACGACAGCATCACTACTGTTCAATCTCACGATAAATTGGTTCGCGGATATTGGTCCAGCTCCACAGCATGTCATAAGGATTTCTATTTATGACCAGCTATTTCAGAATCCCCCACTTGACGTAGTCGTTGACAATTCCATTCAGTCTCTCAGCGTACAGGTCGCTGGTCTTCTCCACGTTGAACTTGGCAATGTCGAGGGACTCGTCCACCTGGGGGGCATTCTCCATCTCCACGGTAAGGACTGGCAAGACGAAGACTGCTAGGAGAAGCCCGTAAGGCAGCTTCTGTAATAAATAAATATTTAAGTTATTAACTATACAATTACGAGAAAAATTGTTAAGTGCCACGACATATAGGGTTTGCTCAGCTAGTTTTACAAGCTGTTTTATTAATTTACATAAATAAACAATAGTTATAATAATAATAATTTCGTTCTGTGCTCTTGTTTACCACTCCTCATTCAATAATTCTCTTTCATTTTCGCTTATAATTATAAATAATGTAAAATCACGGTACCTCCTTCACTTCACAATCGAAGTATTCTCTAGAGAAGGTCTCGTCAGGGTTTAGCTGTAGCCTCTTCATGGCGGCACTGAGCTCTAAGTAGTAGTGGTCCAGCAGCTTGTCAAAGTACTGCGTGCGGAACGTCTCGTCAGTGCCCGCTATGATGAAGTATAGTAGGTCAACAATTGGACTTCTCGCCTGCATGGTCTGTAAGTCGACAACTTTAATGTCTATCGTGCCATCCTGCAAACACAAATTAAAGATTGTATTGGCTCTAACATCAAAATACTTCTTGATAGTATACGGAATAGTAGCAAGGCTTTGCAGGTGCTGATTCAGGCCATGTGACGGAGAAATTTTTGTTATCTTGCTTCTGGATGTATTAAAAATAAACTAAAGATACTCTTTAGTTAACTTGTAATTTACGTTAAAAATATAACTCACTTCAAGAATCTTATGCATCAAGTTGCTGGGTTTGTAGTCTCCATGGCACAGCACCAGACGTCGGCTCGTTTTCTGCATCATTTTGTATGTGTCCGGGTCTAACGTTTCAAAATATTTGATCAGTTTATCTTTCTTCTCCTGCAGAAGAAGAATATTAACAGCATTTCCTATCATTTTGGTTGCATAAACTTCTGTATCAGATTCGTCCATATTAATATCATACAATAACTTTTTCTTTATATCTTCAAACCCTTCAGGATCCTGTTTAGCATATGCCCAGGCGCATGCGTGCAACTTGGCCAGCTCCCGGGTCGCTGCCTTCGCGTACGGCCAGTCTATCGACTTGAACCTGTCGTAAGCCTCGTACCCGGCTGCCGTGAGGTCCTCCAGCACCATCGCTTCTTCGTTCAGCTCAGTAATACTTCCGTAGTACTTGCTGACATTTAACTTAAGTTCATCTGGTATTCCACAATAGTCTTCAATATTTCTATACATTTTTCCCAGATTTGTGTAGAAAAAATGTTCTGTTGTGAATATTTTCGCCAACTGAGCTCGCATCTTCTCACCAATGGCTGCGACTTTGCAAAATAGCTGCAGTGTTTTAGAACCTTCAATAATGCTCACAGCAAACAACTTGGACGTATAGTTTGCTCCTCCACTCGATATTTCTTTGATGTCTAGATTGTAGTCGACAAACTTCTGTTCTTTAGCTATTTTATGAAGTAAGTCTTTGAAAGACTCAGTAATAAAATTTTCCATCTTTTTTGTAAAATGTGGCAAACTATTTAAATTGAGAAGTCTCAAAACTTCTAGTTATATTACGACGCCGACGTGTGTTCGTCGGTCGGTGCAGGACTGCGTACTGGTCTATGCGGATGGCGCCGATTACTCAATATGTTCTTGTTAACCCACAGTTATACAACTATACCACGGTTTAAAGGTTTTGTTTAGTGACACTTATAGAAAGGTTTCCTGGGATAATAAAATGGAAATTAATGCAAAAACTAGATTTATTTGTAAAAAACCCTGTACAGATAATTAAACCAATAATTATAAAGTAAACAAAAATAAAACAACAGGACAATACTACAACAGTACAGTTTGTGCACCATAGAATCTGCACGCTGCTGTATTGGAATTAGGATAATAAAATAATAGAAAATAGTTAGTTTAACATTAACACATTATTCTACTTTATTTACATTAACACATTATTATACTAAAGATTGGTAAAAGCACTGAAATTGACATAAGAAATGATGATGTCCTTCAAGTAAACAGAGTGACAGCAAAGCTTAAGGTTCAGGGTAGGCCAAGAAATATCGTAGCAAAACTGCGAACGCGCCAGCTTAAGGACAACGTTATTTCTCAAGCTCGTAAGCGCCGTTTGTCAACAAAAGATCTGGATATTCAAGGCAGCATAATCCCGGTTTATATAAATGAGCATCTAACCCTGTACAACAAGAATCTTTTAAAAATGGCCAAAGAAATAGCCAACTTGAAAGAGTATCAGTATATATGGACAAAAAACTGCAGGATTCATGTAAGAAAAGCGGTAACAATTCCTGCTATCTTCATTTCGGACGAGGAAGACCTAAGAAAAATCATCTAGGACATCATTTTCTAACACTCGTATGGTTTACTCTTATTAACTTTTTGTCTCGTTTTTGTGTGATTAGTTGTAATGTATCTTCTAAGGATAGTATGATTAAGTTATTGTGGAACAAGGTTGCTTATTTAATGTTTGCTTTTGGCAAGTCTATGCGTGCTGAGATCTATGGTAAGTGTTGTATGTTCGAACAATGTATCTATAAGTGTGTGGCTAATGGCGAGTGTGTAAAGGATATGCGCTGTGGAGTGGTGCGATACTTTGCGTGCACATCATATTTGCATTATCTAGTCTTGGATTGTCCGGTGGATTGCCATAGCGTTGCTTTAATTTTAAAGACAAAATTTAATCACTGTTTGTCCTATATGTATTATAGTGTATCTATTATAAGTATAAAATGCCGGAAACTCAACTCAAGTCTATCATATTATTTCTCCGATAAATATTTGCAAACAAATATTAATATTAGGTTAATTATATTTATTCTAAAAGTAAACAACAATATTTTTAAAATACAAAGGGATGATTTGGTTACACACGATAGGATTGCACCTACATGTGGCGCACGTACTATACATGTTGTTTTTCTAAATTACTTTTACGAATCAGTGTCAACTTACCCACTTCGCAGTTTAATTATTACCGATCTGTCAAAATTCATCGATATTTACTGTATTATAAAAATGAATCAACCTAATCCTAATAACATAATAATTGTGCATCACATCATTTTATTTCTAATGATGTCGTTTCAATTAAGTATTATTACATGCCGTCAATCTACCCGCGAGCTACAAAATGTGCTAATACAATTAATAATGGTTCGTTGTTCCTTATATATTATATACAAGATTTTTATTTATGTTTTTGGTAGGATTTATTTACAAAAATGCAGCCCCTTAACTTAAATATATATTACCAGAACTGTCGTGGCCTCAGAACGAAAATGACGCAACTTCGTCAAAACATTTTAGGCAATAGTTACGATTTAATTATCATGACTGAGACCTGGCTTCACAGTGGCATTTTTGATAACGAATTGTGTGATTCTCGGTATGACGTATTCCGTAAGGATCGCGACCTAGCCGCCACCAGCAAATCGTCTGGTGGAGGTGTAATGATACTTGCGCGACATGATTTGGGTGCATGGTGCAGTGAGTGTGAGCCTAATACTATTGGTACGGAACTTTTGACTATAATAATACCCGCCCGCGCCCTGTCGACATCGGCTAATCTTTATGTAAGTGTTGTTTACGTACCTCCGGACGCTCATAAGATAGTGCCTGACATAGATTACGTTTTGCGGACGGTTACGAATCTATTATCCCACAACACAAAAAATAATAACTATTTACTAATTGGAGATTTTAATCTACCCTGTATTAAATGGAATGTGAGTGGGCCAATTTTTCTAAAACAGGGTGCCGTCGAAGTACAAAATGCAGCTATGCGCTTGGTGAATGATTTATATTTTTTAGGAATAACGCAATATAATACACTTTCAAATCACAAAGGTCATACACTAGATTTAGCGTTTTCTAACTTGCTATTACACATAAACGAATGTGTCCATCCGCTAACGAAAATTGACATTCATCATCCAGTGTTGGCTATAGAAATCCCTGACCTTGAAATTTCCCCCTTTCGTGAGTTTTCCGCACCGAGACGTAATTACCGTAAGACTGATTATAACGCATTAAATAATTACTTTGCTAAAATTAACTGGGAATCTACGTTGGACAAAAAATCAACGGACAGCGCGGTACATGGTTTTTATGACGCAATTCAAGCAGGAATTGATGAACACGTACTTCTCAGCCGACCTGTGGGTTCTCGCAGATATCCTATTTGGTACAGTAACGCCCTTATAAAAATAATTAAACAAAAAAGTAAGGCACACTCACGTTGGAAACGTTTCGGTAACCTGCTCGATCGCGATGAGTTTGCAATGTTGCGGGATAGACAGCTATATGTTCAAGAGCTTTGTTATAGTAAATACCTACATGAGACCGAAAATAGTCTGAAAGAGCATCCTAAAAAGTTCTGGAGTTACATTAAAAATTTGCGTGGAGGATCTAGTTATCCCGGAATGTTGTCCCGCGACAATGTAAACTACACAGATGGGAAAGACATTTGCGAAGCATTCGGCGACTTCTTTCATGATGTTTTTGGAGAACCCTCAGACTATAACCTAGCTGGTTTGAGGGTCACAGAGGTTGAGGATGGTTGTGGTGATATCATAACTGACCTTCGATTTACTCCATCAACTGTGGAGAGGTCGCTGAGTTCGTTAGGTACAGATAAGGGTCCAGGTTGTGACGGTATACCACCACTGTTTTGGAAAAGTTGCGCAAAGTCTCTAGCACATCCGATTAGTTTCATCTTTAATATCTCTTTGAGAGAAGGTACGTTCCCAAATGAATGGAAGAAAGCACTTATAATTCCTATACATAAAAAGGGTTCGCGAGTAAAAATAGAAAATTACAGAGGTATTTCTATACTTAATACTTTGGGTAAAGTATTTGAAAAGCTTGTGTATAATGCTATATATCCTTGCATTCTTAGAGGTATATCTTATAGGCAGCACGGTTTCTTAAAAAAGCGTTCGAGTATATCCAATCTAGCTTGCTTTTCTAACTTTGTCCTTGGCAATACAGATAAGGGAGGGCAGGTTGATGTGATCTACACAGATTTTGAAAAAGCTTTCGATCGTGTGGATCACAGCATCCTGCTCAGCAAATTATATAGACTGGGTATTCGCGGCGATCTTCTTCGTTGGGTAAAATCATATTTATTTAAAAGGTCACAGGCTGTAGTATTGGGTGGTTACCGTTCTAACTTCATAGAAATACCTAGTGGTGTTCCACAAGGATCCCATTTAGGACCTCTCTTCTATAATGCATATTTATTTGATATTACTGACTCTTTCAAACACTCCGAACACTTAATGTACGCTGACGACAAAAAAATATATTATAAAATAACTTCATTTGATGACTGTACAGCTCTCCAACAAGACCTTGACAATTTACATGATTACTATACAAGAAACAAGATTACAGTAAACGTCAAGAAATGTCAATGCATCAGTTACACACGTAAGAGGAACCCTATAACGTACTCGTACCAATTTAATGGAATTACTATTAATAAAGTTGAGATAGTTCGAGACTTAGGAGTTATGTTCGATAGCAAATTGGCATTTTCAAATCACATAGATCTTATTACTAGCAAAGCTTACAAAAATTTAGGATTCGTTTTAAGATCCTGCAAGGCATTTAAAAACATTGAAGCGCTTAAATCTGTATATTTTGCTTATGTTCGTAGCGTTCTTGAATACGCATGCCCAATATGGTCCCCTCAATATAATATGTATAAAAATCAAATAGAACGAGTTCAAAAAAAATTTATTAATCACCTTAACTACCGCCTCCGCAAACCTCCAATGTCTTACGAAAATAGCTGTCGAACGTATGGGTTGTTAACACTCGATGAACGACGTGAAGTGTTGGACATGTGTGTACTTTACGACATACTGAATGGTAGGCTGGATTGTCCGGATTTGTTATCACAAATCAAATTTAATGCTCCTCTACGACGCACTCGCCATACGCCAATGTTGCATGTACCTAGGCATGCCACTAACTATGCTAGTAATTGTGTACTTGCTCGCATTGCGCGAGCCTACAACAAAGACTTCTCTCAGGTTGATGTGTTTAACTGCACAAAACCTAGCTTTAAAGCCCAAGTTAAAAATATTATAATTGATAAAGGCAAGTAGCGGGCAACTTTGTTCCATTCACCATAAAGCATTTACCATGGAGCATTTACTATGTTAATTCATATTTTAATTGGGTTAATATTATTATCTCCCTTTCATAACAAGTAGTATATTTAACTTTCAATTCTATATTAAAACTTTATTTTTAAATATTGTTTAAAGTCCGTTCGCATGGTAAATACAAATTAAGTTAAGCAGGGAAACCTATTATTAGCCTTACTAAACTGTAATATCTTTATTTTGTATTATATCATATGTATCGCTGTTGGTTTTCTAAATAAATAAAATAAAATTCTAAACTAAGTAGAATTGTTGAATATTAAATTACTTACTTCTATACAATCATAAGTATTACAACACCATCATTTTATTAACTTTACGAGCTCACACACAAAGGGCAAGTGTATATAAAAGTATATTTTATGATATGACTAGGGGTCGCGATATTATTTAC